ATATCAAGTATTAAAACTAATATTCAAATAAAATAACTACTTATTCATGCCTTCATTCACATGATGTGATTCATTGATATCATTCTCGTCGTGAATAACATTATTACTCTTCTCTGCGTTTAAAACCAATTGAATGAAATCATTATGTTTTTTGTGACCACTCTTTCTCTCTTGGATTATACGACGGGTGAGTTGAAAGAAAAAGTCAACCACTTTGTCGTCTGCCGCTTGATTTATATTGAAAAGTTTGAGTAAAGCTTTTGGAAAGAATCGGATCATAAGTACTCGACTCAGTTGTGGCCGAAAGAATTTCACAGCATTTGTCATAAAAGGATTCTTTCTATCCTTATGTGTATTAGTCTTTGTACTGAAAGCACAGGTGGCTATTACATCCATGGTGTAGTTGCCATACATTGCTTTCATATCAATTTCTTGATTACTCGCGGCATAAGTGTCCAACACATCCAACAAATCAGTCAAACACTCCCTAATCATTGGATACATTGTCTTCATTTTCGCCGACGAGAATGTGGGCGTAATTGTAGAGCGAAGTCTCTTCCAGTCGTCTCCGTTTACAACAACCAAATGTTTGCTTAATATTGGATGAAATGCCGCATTTTGACGGTCAGTAAAGTTTTGAAAGTCTTTCACCAAAATCTGTTTTATTAATTCCGGTTCCGCCACAGAAAGTATAGGTTTTGTGCCCTCGAATGTACTGCACGGACATTGATTTCAGGTTAACATTAAATATATGTTTCAAATACCGTTCCTTATATAACATACCCATAAATTTTGCCATATTGTTGAATGCGATCCAATTCTATATATGACTTATTTCTGAAGAATTGCTCCAAATCTGTGCCAAACAGTATGACAGGCTTTGGACCATTTATTCCTCTTTTTGACCAATAATTGAAATTTCGTGTTAAATACCTGTCAAAACATATTATATATTTTATTGTCAAATAATATTAAAAATTTATTTATCACAATATATAATTAATTAATTTTAAACTTAAAACAAACCAATATATGAGAGGTATAACTGAAAGTATAGAATAAAATATATACGAATTGAAAAAACTTGTTTCCATTTCACAACGAGAAGTAAACTTATTATTTAAAAAGTTTTATTTAATTCAGTTTTATAGATATAAAAGTAGTCATATTTATACCAAAACATCATATCTTATGTTAAGTACATTTCTGAAACAAATAATTGTTCACTAAGTTTATGAAGTAATTTGTAGTTTCGATATTTTCAAATGAATACAAAGAAATCAAAAAGCGGGTTTAGACTTTTATTAAATATTAATTTATAGTACAGTAATGTATAGTATTTTGAAAGTCACAGAAAAAGATATGTGAAACCCTCTTTTAGATATGTTTGCAAACATTAGTGCAAATGTTCCAGAATAAGATCAATTTAATTTTATTAGTACATCTTTACACATATGTATATATAATTGTTATAATTGTTAAGCAAGTACATTGAGTCTAATTCTTTTGGACTTTATTAACCAAACATATATAATAATTCTATAAATTGTTTCTTTGATTTCATATATACGCTAATGGTTATAATAATGTACCAGTTAACATTGAGTTTATTTCATTTTATTGATTTTAATTATGATAACAATTTTGATTTAATTAAAAACATAATTTTATTGTAGTTTTTTTGTTGATCTTTTTTTCTAAACAAATTATTTTAGCGAAATTATTTAAAACATAATATGTAATATATTAAATAAATAAGTCCCACAAATGTAAGTACAAATAAAGTTTGAAATAAATAATCAACACTAATAGGACGAGTCGGAGGACAGGGAGAGACATACTTCCCATTAATGAACAGCAGTTTAAGAAAAACTATTTTATTGAACATTATTTCTCAAAAGGAGTTAAACTATGGAATAGTCTTCCTCTGGACATTAGATCCGAAAACAAGATTAAAGATATTTAAATCAAAGTTTAAAGACTTCCACTAAATTATTTAATTATTACATAATTTTAGCAAATTTTGTAGCCGTCCAAACAATTGTTATCTTATTATTATTTTTAATTATATTATATTATCTTGTTGATAGAGAATCCAAATAAAGTATAATTTAATTTGAGTAAATAACTTGTCACAACAAATTTTAATAATTTTAAGTATTTATTTTAAGTAAGCAACAAACGACAAATACAGATAATAAATAAACTAGTTAACATCAAAATATAAATATAATTATAAATTATAAGCGATAATTTTGACTAAACATTTTGAAATTAATTAAAATATTAATTAATCTCTCCTTTTGATAGAAATGATGACCCGTTTAGGTGTATTCAAAAGCGGGTGAACCTTGAGGTTGAGGGGAACGTCTGTTTGTGAGCTTCGGCACAGTTTGAATCGTTTGATGATCTGAGC